GAGTTTTTTTAACCTTGGAACAGATTAATCGATTAGTTTCCATTATTTCCAATATGAAAAGTTGTCTTGGAACTCAAAGGATTTAGAAGTTGTACGCTGTCTTGGAATGGATTAATTTTGATTTTTGAGGTATATATGTGTGAGTGTATGCATTGTAACAAGTAAATATTTCATTGTACTGGCTAACCCATATTTACTGTGTGTGTATTTCAGAAATATTTACCTGCTGCCAAAATCTTTCCTCCTTCCCCATACAAGAACATTCACAAATGGACATGATGATGTTTGGTAACATGGAGTTTAAATTTGTGAAACAAGAACTTTCAGATGTGTTCTGTGAGAACAACAACCAAAAGTTGAACACAGTGGTGGATGAGACAGGTTGTAGCAGGAATCAGGAGATAACAGGGCAAAATAACACAGCATCAGGGCTGACTAGCAATAGTAATACAACATTGCTAAAGCACAAGTATTGCAGTCAGATTTCAGAGAATAAAGCTCCATTGATTGGAATTAGCACACAATCTTTGGCAAGTAAGAATTGTCAATTGAAACATAGCATAGAAGAAAACACAGAAAACAAACCAAACATTTCTGATGTTTGTGATTCAACTCTCAGTGTTGACCACTGTTTAAACAGACACAAGAAGAAATATACAGAGCAGAAACTTTACAAGTGTAATGATTGTGGTGCATCTTTTACTGAATCAGGGGGTCTAAAGACACAGAGGAGAACACATAAAGATAAAAAACCTCTCAAGTGTGATGATTGTGGTGCATCATTTCCTTATGCTAGCTTTCTCAAGGCACACAAGAGGACACATACAGGAGAGAAGCCTTACAAGTGTGGTGATTGTGGTGGATCATTTTCTCTTGCTAGCCAACTAAAGGCACACAAGAGGACACATACAGGAGAGAAACCTTACAAGTGTGATGATTGTGGTGCATCTTTTACTGAATCTGGCAATCTAAAGAAACACAAGAGAACACATACAGGAGAGAAACCTTACAAGTGTGATGACTGTGATGCATCTTTTGCTGTATCTTGCAGTCTAAAGAAACACAAGAGAAAACATACTGGAGAGAAACCTTACAAGTGTGATGATTGTGATGCATCTTTTACTCAGTCTGGCAGTCTTAAGTCACACAAGAGAAGACATACTGGAGAGAAGCCTTACAAGTGTCATGATTGTGGAGCATCTTTTACTGAATCTGGCAATCTAAAGAAACACAAGAGAACACATACTGGAGAGAAGCCTTACAAGTGTCATGATTGTGGAGCATCTTTTACTAAATCTGGCAGTCTAAAGAAACACAAAATAACACATACTGGAGAGAAGCCTTAAAAATGTGATCTTCTTCTTCTTCTTCGCGTTCACCAGCTTTACACTCTGGCGGAAGGTTCTGGTTGCTCGTCCACTACTGAACTGCAGTCCTGCTCCAGAACCTGAGTGTTGCGTGTGCATCAGTTTTACAGATCTCATTCTCTTGAATACAGACTGTCGGTTCCTTGCCTCTCCGGCAGATGCACTCCGACTTCAAAGGAAGCTCCCCAATTAGTCGACTCTTACGACATGCTTTTGGGGAGGCAGTGGGTCTATTCTTGTTTTCCCCACAATGGGGCCCCGGAACCCACACGGGGAAAAAAAAAAAAAAAAAAAAAAAAAAAAAATGTGATGATTATGATGCATCTTTTTCTCATGCTTAAAGTCTCAAGGCACACAAGAGAACTCATACAAGAGAGAAGCCCCACAACTGTGATGATTGTGATGCAATATTTTCTCAGTCTGGCAATCTAATGACGCATCATTTTGCTCTCTGGTTATATCATCTCTGATATTTCTTATTATAATTTTGATGTATGTTAAACAAATATGGTGACAGCACACAGCTCTGACAGACTCCTTGGCCGATGTTAAACCAGTCTGATGTCTTGCCATTTATTCTAACTGCTGCTTGTTGGTCTAGAACATTGTTACGAGGTGTACTATCTGTAATGGAAAGTCCATATTTCTCATGATTTCTCAAAGTTTATGATGTTGTATACAGTCAAAAGCCTTTGAATAATCCCCAGAACATGAGAATAGGTTTACATTAAATTCTCTGGACTTTTCTATTATTAAACGCATGTTGAGGATGTGATCTCTTGTTTATCTACCTTGTCTAAATCCAGCTTGAAGCACGTTAATCTTTTCTTTCATTTTCTTACAAAGTCTTCCCATTATGAGTTTTAGTAGAATATTACTAGCATGACTGATCAGGGCAACAGTTCTATAGCTGATGCATAATTTCAGGTTGCCCTCTTTTAGTTTAAGAGGAAGTATCGTAACATAATCGTTTACAGTGAAGCCTTTGCTCCTACCACCAGCAGCATGACAATGGAGGTCATGTCTGTGACAAATGCCCTAGAAAGGTTCACCAGTGCACATTTGCTCAGCAACACAATAAGCAGGCTACAGAAGATCAGGGTGGGGTACATATGTAAACAGTGGCTCCATCTGATACAGCACAAAGCGTATTGCTAAACCACCTTCATTTTTGTCACAGGGGACGCTGGTGTGAAAGGCAATGAGAGAGCAGACGCTCTGGCTGGCAGTGTGATTATCAGGAATAGGTCATCTATCGACAGAACAGACATCATCAATGCCATACGAGAGACTGAACGCTATGAAGCTTTCAGTTTTGTGCAAAAATGATTTTTCACTGACTAGACTGCATACTCTTAGTGTACCAATTGGAGCCATGAGACAGTAAAACTCGTTGTATCAATGAGAATGGAATGGGAGTTGTTTACCTAAAAACACTTGGAGATATGCTCAAGAGGAGACCGGAGCACTTTGGTCATGCCCAATGTGTAATGAAGATTATCTCTAAAATGAACAATTGTGCCAGCATGTGTGAAACAATGACCACAAGAGTTCCTTCTATGGTGGTTTAGTTCACTTGTTGAGTCTCCTATGTTGGACTGGTCAAGGTAAAAGAAAGAAAGGGACATAAAACTGTTACCGTATAGGCAGACAAGAGAAAATAACAGGGCAGTGAAAGCAAACTCAGAAGAAAAAATTATTATAGATGTTTTCAATTGTTCAAGGCTTGTTGAAACAGTTCAACATAACTCATCGCATGAAAAAATTTTAGTTTTGTTTTTTAAATGAATAGAGAGACATGACAGATATTTAAATAAAATAATGGTACAGCAGATGCTGATGAGGAATAGAGGCATCTGTAATTGAGAAAACATTACAGAAAGGTGGAAATCATCATTCCTGTGTGGGTTCCGTGACCCCCCTGTGGAAAAAACCAAATGTAGACCCACTGCTTCTTCAACAAGCATGTCATAAAAGTCAACTAAGTGGGGGGGCATCCATCAAAGTCAGAGTGCATCTGCCTGAGAGGCAAGGAACCAACAGTCTGCATACAAAAAAATCCAGATCTGAAAAATGGATGTGCATGTAACACTCAAGTTCTGGAAGAAGGTTTAAGTTAAGAGGCAAGTTCTGGGCAACCAGAACTTTCTGCTGGAGTTTACAGCCAGTGAATGCGAAGAAGAAGACAACATCAACAGATGGACTGCAAGAAGCTTACAAAGAGAACCTCAGGAAGACAGTTTCTGAGATTTTTTACAGCTAATCTTCTTCTTCTTCGCGATCAACAGCTGTAAACTTCGACGGAAAGTTCTGTCTGTTCATCCACTTCTGGACTGCAATCCTGTTCCAGAACCTGAGCGTTGCGTGTGCATCCGTTTGACAGATCTAATTTGTATGCAGACTATTGGTTCCTTGCCTCTCAGGCAGATGTACTCCTACTTCAAAGAAAGCTCCCAATTAGTTGACTCTTACGACATGCTTTTGGGTTGGCAGTGGGTCTATTCTTGTTTTCCCTATAATAGGGCCCGGAACCCACACTGGGAACTACAGCCAATGTTCAATGCGGTGATGACACAGGTCATTATAACAACACACACCAGCACTTCTTGAGAGTGAAAAAAATGTAAGATTTATTTTACCATTTCTCAGCAGGAAAGAAATAATCATTATGTGTTATGCCCGTAAGAGTAGTTGGTAATGGAATTCAAACAATAAAACTATAAAGCAGCGATGTTATGTCTTGAGCTTCTTGTTTACATGCCATATTAAATTATGTCTCTTCATAAGCCTCCTTACACTTATCATTCTTTGTGCTGATATCTTTGATATCATTGACCCGGAAGTTGCTACTTATAAGAGTCAAATGAATATCATATTTATTTTTTATATGAGAGCGGGAGGAAAGAGAAACTCACCACAATAATTTCCTCAGACAAAAATTACCGGGCACTCACAAAGTTAGATGTATGAGGAAATGACATGGTCAAAGGATTTCATGCCAATCTTTGGATAAATAACCTAGTATGGAATTCTTTACTACCATGAAACCAGATTGTTTTTTTTAGCATTATATTCATCTGCCCAAACATTCTTTCTCCTTTTAAAATTACTCTGGTTGTTACAATGCATTCCCATTGTTTTTTACTCACAGTAATGTTACTGTTTATACGCACCTTTCTTAGTATGTTACTTTTTACTGGACAATAGAACAAGAGAAAAACAAGTTAAGAAGTTAGAGAACAGAAGATGCTTTAGAGAAAAAAGAAATACAAATCTTACAATAAATATCTTTACAAATACAAGATCAGTAAGATATAAACAAATCACTCAAATAGTGTAATACCACAATATCCTGCTGAAATACTTCTTCTTCTTCTTCTTCACTTCCTCTTTTACCGCTATGGGTGTCGAGGGAGATATTAGGTTCTGTTTCTAGCTCTTCTGGCCGCCTCGACCATAGGCACATCATGCTGTTGTAGAGTTTCTCTAATGTATTCCTTCCATCTTGTTCTTGGTCTACCTCTTGCTCTACGTCCTTCTTCTCTTTCCATGTATGCTTTGTATGGTATGGTGTCACAATGCATTCTCTCTAAGTGGGCAAACCATTTTACTTGCTGTCTTTGTGCTGAAATACTATGCTATCAAAACGAAATTTTCAGGAAATCCTGTTTTCAAAATTTGCTTCTTTTTTTCAGACAAACTGTATTCGCGTCCAACAATCAGCACTGATAATTTGCAAACAAACAATGACTTCAGTCCTCTCATTGTAATGCGGGGACAATATGAAATGTCCAACATGTTTAACGCTGGAAGTCCTTCAGCTATTGAAATAACAGCTCGGTCAGTTATTGAGTGGCAATGAACAAAACGCAATTTCTGTAGCTTCTTCAAGTGCAGTGCAATGTACTGGACTGCTGAATCATCTATCTTAAGCAAAATGAGATTTAAAACTTCTAACTCTGTCAAATGCTTAGCAAAGGTCTTAACACCTGATGTCCCAACCCTATAGCATAGTTCAAGAGATAAATATTTTTAAGTTCTTGAAGACAGCAATGTCTCCAATATCAAAGTCATTCATTTGTCCAGACAACACCAGAGACAGTTGTTGTAGGTTTGGCAGATGCATCTGTTTGTCTTTCATCCATCGGGACTTCCATCTGCTGCAGACCATATCTAGACATGTGGTGGATGGAGGAAGATACTTAAATGGGATGCTGTTCATTTTACACTCATTAAGATGCAGAAGCCGCAGGTTCGGACAGCGAGTGGACAGTTCTCTTAGCAAGGCTTTGGAAACTAAGGCCCTTCCTTTACTGTTGCTATCTATTCCACAATTAAAAGAAAAATGGTAATGTTAATAAAAATTTTATATCAACAATATTACAATTATGACTATAGTGGTAATAACAAATGTTTATTATTATTATGATTAGTGAATAATAATAGTGACAATAATAATATTAAACACTGATATCCTGTTATCACCTGTGCTTATCACTTCATTAGGTGGAAGTATGCAGGTAATGATATATCTAAAAGCCTTATACAGCCATGTTTGTTTTTTAAAGATATAAAATTTTGCGAAAAAAATTAGGTTTTCTTTATCAATCTGCCTTTTCCCCCAACCATTTTAGTCTGATGGCACTCGTGACTTAAGTGACAATGGTGATTTAAACAAATTTTGAATTTCGCCTTTGTTTTTTCCTTCTTTAAAAAATATTAACTGATACTCAGGAGGACTAAGAGCTTGAACTCTTTAAGTCAAAATACTCAAAACAATGCCCAGGAGAAAAAAAACATTTCGTGTAACAATTCTATAACTTGAAATAAGAACAAATAATTGTGGTCAACAGTTTCTGTTTAAGTAGTTTTTCATAATATGGGCATAGTTTTAAATTTACCTGAGATTTCTTTGGCAGAAAATGTTAAACTAAACAGCCATCTTCAGCAGGCAATGCTAGCTAAATTAATGAAATAATGGTTGAAATAGCAACATCACATTGTGAGAAATTAATAATTTTCTGCAAACCTGGATAGTTTATACTGTGATTCACAAAAAAAATTATATATGTGATGGAACAGCTGAGCGTCTATCACACTCACCAGCCAGCAAAAGTGTCTTGAGATTAAATCTCCTTAGAGTATGAATTGCTTACATGACCACATGGCTCTAGCGAGGCCCTAGGACGATAAAATAGGCACTAGAACATTTTCTAGAAAGTTAAAGGTGGCTGGCTTGATACTTCCAGCTTCAGCAAAGGTTTGTTGGTTTTTAAACAAAATATGGGCTCAGCACCATGTACATAATCTGTCACATTTGATGGAAACAGGTTCTTGAACTAATAAACTTAACTGCTGTCATGTATTTCAAATTATTTTAATCATTTAAACTAAAATAGAATATTACATTACCAGTGTTACAATATTTATTCTTCTTTTTCGCACTCACTAGCCATAAACTCTAGGGTTGTTCCAGAACCTGAGTATCACATGCATGTCCGTTTAAAATATCTGGCTTATTGGTATGCAGACTATCGGTTGTTTACCACAGGCAGATGCAATCTAACCTTGAAGGAAATGTCCCTAAGTAGCTGAATCTTAGGACACATTTGTTTGGAAACAGTGGTTCTATTCATTTTGTCCCACAATGGGACCCTGGAACCAACTTTGCGAGAGATTACAATTACGGTAATCATATTTATGATGATTACTTTTGAGCCACATAAACTATTACCATATCAATTCAACTAATAATGTTTTATAGCAATATAACTTGAACACAGTGAAAAATGTTACAGTCTCTAATTCATTTTCTCCAATGATATCAATCTCATCTGCATATCCAAGTATTCTTGTAGTTTCTCCTATACTACACTCTTGTTTCAATTTCCTTATACCTTTCTCCAGGGCCAAGTTGAAAAGAAGTAAGGATATAGAGAGAGCATCACCTTGCTTTAAACCAAATGTTATTTGAAAAGGATCAAACTTTAGTCTTTATATATAACTTTATTATAAGTGTCTTCCATTCATAGTCTGGTCATGGTGATTAACTTCTTTTGTATTCCAAAGTCCTTCATAGCATTCCATAAACTGTTTTTGTGAATTTTATTAATTGCAATAGCAATTTAAGTAGAATGTAACAAACAATTATTACAAACCAAAACACACCTGCATAAGCATAGCACTGTATCTTCAATGTTAAGAGAGATGGGGACAAATGATATCTTACAAGTTTCCATATTGCCTTCAAATCGAGACGGTACTCAGTCAGATCAACATGCCTCCATAATGAATTGTCAGAAAGAATCTGGTTCCACTTTTTGCAAACTCTGGATATGAAATATTGCAAATGAAACAAGTTGGTAAAAACGTTCTTATCATGTAAATTTGAGTAAAGTGAAGTAACTAAATTACTTTTTTTACATACTTTGTAATGTGTTGGGTATATGGTACTAGCCCGGTATTACTCCAGATAAGTTGCTCTTGAAGGTAATGTAGATAAAGTAATCAGGTAAAGTAAAAGACCTTTTTGAACACCTTTGGGCACATAGGGCTAGACAAATATTTTATAGACCAATCGACACTCAGTGGGTGATGTGGTCAAGATCACACCGGTCATCTTTACTTCCCAAGACTTTATCTGGCACACATTCAAGGTCAAATCTATGTGGGAGGCAAAGTCGTTCTTGAAAAAAGTCCAGTTCCATCAGGACCTGAACCCACAACCTCCGAATCCGCAGATAAGTGCCATGCCACTACACAAGGGTTATTCAACTAGGTTTACTCAGGGGCCAAAATTATGAGAAAAAAGGTGGCGCGGTGATTTATGTCACTATCCTGGTTGTACGGAACCTCACGCAAGTCCCCTGCAGCACGTCCTCGTCGTGCGCCACGGATAATGTCTCAAATGAGCATTAACAGAGCTGTCAGGGGATCTCGGAGTTTGGCGGCCCCCAGAGGTGATGTGTCCTTGTGGCTCTCATCAGCCCGCCCCCAAACGCTTGGGTGAAAAAGGTTATCAAAACTCATTAGGAACATGAATATGTTTGCCAAAAGTACAGCTAAAATTACAACCCTCGGTTAAAAGATTGCGGAGTGAAGAGAACATTGTTCACTGTACATCCTCTGTTAACCCTCAGTGTCGTCGTCACCGCGCTGAGGTACACCACAACAGCAACCATCCATAGGCTGGCCATCCATGTACATATCCGGTTAACCCTCAGTGTCATCGTCACCGCGCTGAGGTACGCCAAGACAGCAACCATCCACAGGCGTGCCATCCATGTACATCCTCGGTTAACCCTCTGTGTCGTCGTCACCGCGCTGAGGTACGCCAAGACAGCAACCATCCATCGGATGGCTAAGCCTAAATGTCCGACAAAACTAGATCCTACGGCGCACGAGCAAGTTCAAAATCTGACAATCACAATTTGTACTGAACGGAAAAAGACCAAATGTCCACACCCAAAGACCCCACTCGCCCGAGTGTTGGGACCAAACTGACAACGATATACCTGACGCAGGATGTAAAATTCTGTCGGGCTAACGGCTCGTCAAAGAAATCTAACGTGCGAAGAAAAAAGAATGTACCTATTCGTGTGGTCACAAAGGTTCAAAACCCACGGGCTGCTCCCCGCTGACTCCCAGAGGGCGCAGCCCTTGTCGAGCGGGAGGCCTAATACGGTTGTAAGGTTAAGCAGGCATGTGCAGGACGTGACGATTCCTTGGGTGAGCCCAGAACCAGAGCGCCATGTGCCGGCTCTGCATACATGGAAGCCTTCTTGGATGGCGGGGAATGCCCATGATCTGCCCCTGCCTTCCCTTGAGGGCTAACCGTTCCACAGAGGGCTGCCCCAAAGGGGTACTCCGGGGGCAATACCTGCGGAGAAGGAGACAAATTGAACACCACAAAAATCAGGTAACGTCTCGACCCACAGAAAACAATGGCCACAGTCATCCTAGAAATAGGCCTGACGTCTTCCTTCGAAGTCGGAGTATAGCTGCCCATGAGGCAGGGAACAGTAAAACGGTTGCACACGCAAAAATCAGGTCCAGGTGAAAGCCAAAAGTCCAAGCGGACGATTAACCAGGACATTCCGCCGGAATTCATAGCCGGCGAACGATTTAAAAAAATGAGAAAAAAGGAACTGTCATGACCCAGCAGCCTGAGCCACAGGCATAGAAAGAGCATTAAATATATTACAACTGGCAATTCTCTTTCTTCTTCTTCTTAATTTGCTTGAAATAGATTATTTATATCTGCAATGTTGTCTCTAGTATGAACTTCACCGTCTTTTGTAATTCACTTAGCGAACTGTAAAGTTTGACTTGCATCGATGTTTCGTTTGGCCTTGATATATTTTATTTGGGACAGTCTTAGAGGACATGATCTGTTGTCTCATGTGCCAGTCCACGTGCGCATGGTTGATTTGCCGATTTTCAACTGTGTGTACATGGGGCTGCGAAGTCGACTGTGTCCTGTTCTAAGGCATAGAATAATAACTTGCTTTGGTCTGTCCATGAAATGGTAATCATCTTGTGCCGGTTTTTGGTGTCTTTCTGATTGATTTGATTATTCCCTTCGTTTGTTGATAAGAGACTGGTACTTCAGGTTGTTCTTAATTTGCACCTTCCTTAGCTAGTTCATCAGCTCTCTCATTTCCAGGAACTCCATGGTATCCACTGCACAGTTACCCTACACCGGCTGCCTAGTTGGAAGAGTAGTGTAAAGCAGGTAGTTTTCCAGATTGGAGTGCCTGAAGCACCGCTCTTACATCTGTCAGAAATACCACAGTTTGTGAAATATGACGTATATTTAACAGTTTCTCTGCTGCAATTTTGACGGCTTGATCTTCCCCGTCAACTGGCAATGATCTGCGGACCACCTGCTAGGCCTCTACGGGCCATCAGTTGAATAGCCCTGCACTACACCATGATGGTGGCTCCTGATAGGGTATGTAGTCAATAGGAACAAACTCACAGGGAGCAAGTACAGCGGGGATCTACAGTCATCAGTAGAAATTATCCTCTTTCGACACACGTTTCGGCCCACGATTCCTAAACGTATTCGGAGGTGGGCCCACCTGAGTTCATGAAGCTCAGGGCTGCTCCCCGCTGCACGGAATTACCGGATGGTGTTACACTTTCGGCCAGAGACAAGACGACTTAGTGGTTTCGAAGGAGGTACTGTGAGATAAGAAGTCGCCGCGACAGCGTAATTA